ACTTTGGATTATGATACAGAAAAGGGCATTTCTAAAAATCAATTAGCATTAACTCACGGCTTTCTAGTGTTCTTATGAAATTAGGTTTTCTATAAAGCTGGGACTCCGAAAAACCTCACATGAGAATCTGAATATTTTCTTGACAATATAAATATAGTCAGTGCATCGCAAAATATGTTTTAAAACACTTCTCGAGATTATGAACATTTTTTAGCACATTTGGTTTTTCAAAGACCCGGGTTTTCTGGAAAATTCAGACGCAACCAATTTTGAGCTTCACAAAGTATTCTGTTAGAAAGAGCACATCTGAAAACCTATAAAAAGCGCGTTTATGGGCTTATGCATTGATTTAGAATAAATGTCCACATGTCTAGTAAAAATTGCCCACTTGTATCATCTTGTAATCTTGAATTTGTTTAAGTATAAAAGATTGAAAATTGATACGATTGTAACATTAACTGATTTACGATTTATACCTTATTTATTTAAAACTGTTAATAGAATCAAGATTTCAATTCAATACAAATTTATGTAGGAAAATATTATATAAAGAAAATGAGTCAGATGAGAAATGACAAGTTACTTGACTGGCAAAAAAACGAATAGTATCACACATAGAAAATTCCTCGAAAGTTTTTTTTCAATTAGAAACTACGAAGTTTTACAAAAGTAATGATCTGACAAGTGTAAACAATTCAGTTTATACTGTTACTTTCTAAATTTTCTCGAATGGAATCTCCAAAAAGTCTGATCCGGACTGTATTCATGGTAGCATCGAAATCGAATATTTTTTATTTCATTCTGTTCATACCACAGACCAAAACGGGATGAATCAGCTGGGATTATACAAAAATTAAAAATAATTTCTACTGAAAAAGTATGATCCATATGTGAGAAATTATTCTTTCTTTGATTTCGCAGCCCATACGACGCCCATAAACGCCCGTTCTCTGTAACCATTATTGCTCCTAGAAAGAGTACAGCACTGGTCGTCAAGATAAGTCTTATCTATAGACATTTTCGAGAATTTTCATTCGTTTGCTTATATAACAACAATCCAGAAAGAAACTAAGGTCTTTCAATCGAAAGTTCTTGCCTTGGTGTCTTCTCTTGTAAATCAATCTATCCTAAGTCCTATAGATAAACGTTTTCTTTTATCTTAAGTTCGAAATATATGAAAGATATGAGAGCTAATATTATATTTATTGAATCAATTTACTGCTACAAGCACGTCGAAAGTATGTAGTTCACGAGATCCGGTTTTAAAAATGCATTTGTGTGAAGTGTTAGATTTTATTAGAGCAGGATGCAAACTTTCTTAACGTAGCAGATTAACTTTAGAAAATATAAAAATATGTTCAGTTTTATTGTTGCTATGTTCTAATAGAGGAAACCCATCGTTTGGTATTTATCGTAATGGCATATAAGAGTCTTGAATTTTCTTATACAACTGATAAGAATCTTGAAATCGAAAGAAATGTCAACAAACAGGACTCTTGTCAGGCAATGAGTAAGCATATCGACGTGTGCGAGAATGAATTTACGGGTATTTATATTTGCGTCTATCTGTTTTATAATCGTCAAAACGATATTTTTAGCTTAGCAAATGCTGCTTTACTTTCTTGTCAATGTTCTTCCAAGAATCTTTGCATTTGTCTTGATCTAAGTAGCAAGTTTCTTATTTTAGTTTTCCGTAAAATAAAGATTCTCTAACAATAGTCGAATGATCATTATTTCTTTATACATATATGTATACACGAAAATAAAAACTAAATATGCGCATTTTTTCATATACGAGATTCTTGCAGGAAAGCACCATCTTGTGAACTTAGATAAGAAAAAGTCTCATAATTCTTGACTAAACTAATAAAAAACTAGCTTCGCACAAGATTCTTGAGATAAAATACATATAAAATTCATGCAAAAAATTCTGGCTAAAACGGCAAGAAACAAGAATCTTTGAAGAAGATCGACAAGAAAGTCGACTAATGAATGCAATGTTAACATAAATAGAAAAGTGTTAAGTCATTCACTTATGTAAAGTGTAATGTTTCTCGTTCGTTCTTTTCAAACAATGCGTTAACAGCGCACACATTTTCAAGTAACTGATTGACATCGCCCAAACTGGCGTCATTTTTTTATACGTCTAGTTTTTTTGCACAAATAGCTCTGCTTTCTTTCCAGAAAGAAAACGTATAAAAAAAAGAAATAAAATATGAAATTGTACTAAGCCATACTAGGCCCGTAACGGTGCAACGCTATGGGTCTATTATGTATTTGTGTATCAATGATTATTTGAGTTTGAATCACCTCAATAAAATCTATAGATAAATTGTTTACAATAAAATATTACATGTAAAATCTAGACGTATAGTAACATGACAGCATTTTTCTCTTATTTTTTGTGTTTTTTCTCCAATGATGGTTGTTTCACGATGTTTCTTTTTTTCGTTCTCTTATTCTCGGTCTGTTTGCTGTGCATGTGTATATAAACGAACGTTTCAACTGAGGTGTACTTTTTACACGAGACGCATTACATCTTTAGATCAACCGGCCTTAACGTCGATACGAATTAATTCTATTTTAAAAAACCAACAGCGCTAAAAAAACAATGGTAAAAGAAATTACATCATTAGAAGCATTGAAATCAACCCTTGCTGAGAATAAAGACAAATTAGTCGTACTCGATTTTTTTGCACAGTAAGCAAATATTCTCTTTTATTAACAAGATTTAGTTTTACAACTGACATACTGTTACAAGCAAAGGGAAAATGCAGCACCTAGCCCGCAGATGCCGTTCGGAGTTGAAATGTGCTGTTCGAGTCTGAGAGCTCAGATAGTGTTTAGTCTAGTAGATATATGTTCTTCACTTTCTAATATTCAAGATGGCAGATAAACGCGTTTCATTTCTAAAAATAGATCATAAGCACATATACAAAATGAAAACAAAAAGGTACTAAAATTGTTGCGATGGTGCGGATTTGGCCCTTTAACCACCTTCCATCTTGAATTTTAGAAAGCGAGACAGATATTTATTACGCTAAAAACAAAAATTTTTCAACTGGGAGGTGCTGGCAGAAGCTGGAAGATACTATGACTGAAAAGTACTTTTTTCCTCTATGGCGGCGAAAAAAAAAAGTACTACATGCTTATTCTTATCAAATATTCTAACGTTAAAAGGTTAATGAAAGGGAGAAATTAGCTTGACCGTATTATTGTTACATGACTCATGAGAAAATTTGGCGACCGTATTATTGTAACATCACATGCGTGGCCACGTGCGAACTTTCTATAATTTCGCACAGGTTCACGAGCTAGAATTTTTTTTTACATGTATCCACATACCATGTTCATGTGCGACCGCAGTTCATTTCACGATATCGACGGATGTACACGCCGCTTTATATACTAAAATTTCCCCATGGGGTTGATTACTGATCGCTGTTCTATATCAGCTAGTAATTTCAGTATAGAAATTGATATTGAGTAATAGAACTCTTAACGAAGGAGCACTACTCCGACTCTTATCTCTATTATTGAATTTTTGAGATGCAGTGCGATATCTCTGAACTTAGTACAATTTCCTTCTGATGATTTCTGGTTGGATTCTCGCATAATCTAATGGTTGTTTTGTTTTCATTAAACAGATGGTGTGGCCCTTGCGTGCGTATAGGCCCGAAAATTGAAGATTGGAGCACCGGTGATTTCAAAGATGTGGTATTTGTCAAATGTGATGTTGATCAAGCCGAAGCTGTTGTATGTAGAATGAAAGAAAACTGAAGATAAATTAAGATTTTTCATTTAATTTGCATCTAATTTTCTTTTATAGTCGCAAGAATACAGTGTTGAAGCAATGCCAACATTTGTTTTATTCAAAAATGGAGAAGAAGTTGAGCGTATAGTTGGTGCCAATGTGGAACAACTTAAAACAGCTATTGAAAAGCATAAAAAATAAACATTATAAATGTCATCAAATTATTGGTTGAACTACTGTGATTGTTTCTGTAGTGTGTTTTTTTCTTGTGCTCAATAATTTAGGTCTATCTTGTGGTTTAAAAAGCACTTTAAATAATAATTCACTACAAAAAAAGTGGGCTAGTGGATTAATATGAAGGCGAGATGTTTAAGGATTACAAATAGTCGAATATTCCGTAACCATTTCTAATTGTAAACACTATGATTAGTAGAGAGAGCATTTTTTTTCGAAAATGATAGAATAAAAAAAACGGATATAAAGCGTTATTTCAAGTACTCGATTAGTTGACCGTTATATAACGATTCTCACTGTTTGATAGTTTTAATCATTCTAACTCTTTAGAAACTAAAATTTTTACACAATACACTTAACTTGGCCCTTTAATTTCGTGAAAATAAACATTTCCAGTTATTAAAACAATTGTATTATTCTCCCCTATCTGTGATAATCCATAGTATCTGTATGCTTTTATATTTGATGAGTTTGCTATATTATTTGATCAAAAACCCGAAGAAACTCTCAATACAGAATTTATTTATCTTTATTCATCCAAAAGGAAACAAAAATTTTTTGTACTGTTTCATTTGACGATGTTATCAGGATGAAGAATCAAACGACAATCGACGTTTCGCAACCAAAAAAGTTAAATATCATATGATGAGATAAATATCTAATTTTATCCGCTTCAATGAAGCAGCATCATCATGACATGTGAAAAAAGATGTTATAAATTTCCCTTCAAAAAAGAAATAGATATAATTACTATAATTTCAAATAAAATATATATTAATATTTGTATAATCCAATATTGGTGATGACACCTTGCAAATAAAGTATATCTCTGTTCATATCAAACTTTTCTCATATAGTAGTTTTCATTAGTCATTGAACTATCGATTTCTTACTCTTTGAAGATTCACAGTTAGAAATTTTTTCTAAAAATGCCTTTTTTTTGTACAATAAAAATCTATATATAATAATCCACGCTAAATTTACAAAAAAAAAAGCTGAAACACATTTTTGTTTAATAAATGTTATCAATAAATGGATCATCTTGATTTTTAGGAAACGATGGATATTTCTTTTTGTACCATAAATCAATGACTTTCGTTGAACGTTTTGGAAATGCATCACGTCCATTGAAGAAAGCTGAAGTCTCTGGCGTAAAACGCACAGGATCCAATTGTACATGAATGTTTTTTGGTAAATCCGGTGAACGTTGTAAATCTTCTAAGACATTTGTGTCTTTAACTTCTGTAGAAAAATAATTGATAACATCTTTTAATATATTTAAATCATTTAATGTCATATTTGGTATTATATGCTGAAGTTCTTTCATACATTTAGTTAATAAATGATATTTGTTTAATGGATTTCTTAATGGTATGTTAAACCAACTATCATATTGTTTTTCTTCATTTTTAAAATTATCAACTGTTTCATTAGCTAGACGATAAATGATCTGTTCAACATCTTTTGGCGGAGAATAAGGACGACATGTAACAAGGCGAGAAACATATTGTCGAGTTTTGAATTTAGCTAATTCTGTCATTGTTGGTAATGTGGTTGGTATTTCATCGGAAATTTGTGCTGATGGAGATACCGTTGAAGTCTCACCTTCATCAAAATCATCGGCTGTAGTCTTTTTTGTACTACGTCCAAATAATGTTCTTCTTGTTGCATTGATCAATAAATGTTGACCTTTCAAAGATGAGAATGTCAGCGAACAACGAGAAATTATGGACATATCTAAAAACAGAGAAGTGGATATACGAATTAAGCTAATATAAATCTTTTTGTAGGGGATAACTCTTTTTAACATTTTAGAATCATATGACGTGAGCAATATCTTGATGAAACTTTCAACAGACTACGCTAAATTTTACTAGAATCTGCACAATGAAAATACAGGAAAGAATGTCACTACTTCATTGATAAACATAAAAAAGTTACCAGTAAACGCATACTAATTTTTCAAACATTAGTCTGACTGATATAGCCTTATTCTTTCTATTATTGAAGATGTAGTAAAAAAAGATTTTTGAACATGAAAACGGTTACAGAAACCTATAGAGACTTACAGATATACTACAACAATCATCTTTGTTTAAGGATGTATCTATCTTTATTTGATGACAACAACAACAGTTTAACAAACGTCACTATTTTAGCAGACAAAGTCTGTAACGAGTAGTGATTAAGAATTTTAACGGATAACATTAGTAAATGAACAATCATCTGTACAGCATTAAATAAGCGGCTACTTTCAATGTCAAACAGAAATTTAATCTTCAAAAATGTTTATAAGATTTGTAATGAATGGTAAAAGAAAAAGAAAAGTTTTCAATGTAATAGAAAAATAGATGCAAATTTATTATATCACAAAAATATAAAACTGCTTGATGCTTGAGAAAAAGTTGTTAATTGAGATAATACTAAATTAGACTTTTAAATATTACACTGTTATCTAATGATGTAATTTTAATTTAATCAAAAGTAAATTGCCAGTTCTTATAGTGAACCTACACCGCAAAATGGTACACTTATTTCATCAAATAATGTTGCAGGTTTAATTGATTATAATATTTTTCAACTTGGCACACCTGTGTTAGCTGTTTCTTCATGACTGCAAATATAATACCCATGTAAAAACGATCCGATTTTTTGGTTTTTATATGGATATTAGCTATTGTACTTTTTTTAAATCGTTGGTATATTTTAAAATCGATATTCAAGCATAAGAGTAACAGGTTTAGATGATCTACTGACTAAAGTAGTCGTATAACATCTTCTGTGATAACGTACGAGGGCAAAAATCAACAGCAGTTGACGTGATTAAAGATAAGAATACGGGACTGGATTGAATAGTTACCATATAATAATAAATATAAAAAAATGTGTTACATCTTAAAAAATAAATGGAAAAGACAACATTTAAAAGATTTATCTACTAGTTCAAACTAGTCCAAAAATAAACTTAAAATGTATTGTAGTAGTACAAATACGAAATAATTGTTTTGTATTGTTATAGTAAGCGATTCGCGAGTTTGAAATTCGAAATAGATTTAGATATGGCTCAATTTTTAAAATATTTCTTCATTTTTATTCTTTATAACAACGGCAAGATTTTCTAAGAACAGTTATTATTAAACGTACAGTTCAACCTTTGATGTTTGAAATAAATATGTTTGCGTTTGACGTCAATATTATCTGACCTACTCAAACACTCTGAATTGATTACCTATTTTATCAACGAAAGTACACAATAAAATCATTTTTAACAAGAAAATAAACACTCGACAAAAAAAAACAATTTAATGGTTTCAGAATTTAAAAGCTGAATTACTTTGTTGTTTTTGTTTAATTTCCATTTTCAGTTATTGAAACAAAAGCAAATGAGACTAGAAACAACATGATACTATCCCTTTGTTGATGATCTCCTTTTTTTAATAAAGAGAAAGCTTTTACTATGCAGACAATAGTTATCCTATACGCCCGGCGTTTGTTTCATATTCTACAATCATTTGTTGTCTTATTTTTCAACAAACTGTTGTAATTTCTCTAATAAACTGATATATTGTTTATGTTCATGTGCTGTTGAAAAATCCATTAATTGATTAGCAAATTGTTCACCAATTCCTCGTTCTTCTAAAACATTCAATAATTTATCATACAGTTCACCGTCGATGACTGAACAATCAGTACTATATGTTGTCTTTTTCCATTCACCATCATGCACCGTAAATTCATCAATTTGAAAATCTTCTGCCATTGTTTCTAAATCATGATTCATGTCACCTTCACCAGGATTTCTATTCCGAGAATTTGTTATCGAATCAGGATACTCATTAGGTAAATATGAACATAAAAATGATAATGTCTGGTTACCACGGTTGATATCAACAGTAAATTCTGGCCGTGATTTTAACTGAGTCGATGACATTGATTCAGCTGTTTCTGGAGTATCATTGCCCGACATTTCTTGTTCATGACTATCACTACGCTCATCATTCTCAGTATTAACTGTGTTTGTTACATTGAATTTAACAGTTATTTTCTCATCACCATTCGTTTTTGTTAATGTCACTTCTGAACCGTCTGTTGTCACCTATGGAAATATGACCCAATTGATTTGTGATCACGGAACAAAAAGCAAGCATAACTAACTTAACGAGTTGCGGCTTGCTCAAACAACAACTGTAATTATAGAAGAATGTCGCAACTACCCTAAATAACAATTTACTAGTCGTTTTTAAATGATCCGTCTACGATTTTCGGCTGTAAATAACTTCGAAACCAAACATGAGTTATTTTGCGTTAGAAATATATCTAATTCTCCCAAATATATTCAACTTCAAAATTCTAATGCGTTAGAATGAGTCAATTATTATCAATGAATTGTACAGCATTTACTCAACTTATGATACATTGTAAAATGCTAGCACGCGTTTGTTTTTTGAGCGATAAAGCATCAAAAGGTCTGCTCTTTTTCAAAACTTGTTTTAGTTCCGCTCTCACTCTCCTAAGGAGGCACTATATAAAGTCATTAATATTAAATCAATGTTTTTCCTGTTCTATCTGAAAGTAGTCGATATAATTATAACTAGTACAAAGAAACAATATTGAATAGTCCATCTTAGAGGAACGCATAAGTAGACATGGGAAGGATCAGAAGTAAATTTTTCACCGAAATCAGAATTATAACTAAGAATTTTTTTGGATGATTCCGTTAAAATAGTTAAAAATTTTATTTAACCTTTTAATATTAAACGTTAAAAATAGAACTTTATCAAAAAGTTGTCAAGAAGTTCGACAGCATTTTCCTAGAAATTGATCTTTCTATCTAGTCCGTTCGCTATTTTATGTAACCTTTATTAAGTCATCAAACTCTCAAAGTTAACGAAATTCTCCATCGTTACCAGAATGTTGTTTTCATGCTTTACGATCGAAATGTTTTTCGGTACCGGAACTGAAAAATTTTGGTCCCGCCCATATCTACGTAGAACGCATAAAATAAAAAAATAGAAAGAAGGAAAAAATAATAACTTCGTTAGATTATTTAAATACATTGAATTTAGAATATTTCATGCACAATAATAATCATTCTCAATTACTCACTTCAAATCCTACGATATTGGGCATTTCACTGGGATGTTTTTGTGCCTCTTTCTCGAGTTTGATTTCTTTATTCAAAAATGAACTCAAATCTTGATAAGCATTCGTATGTGTTTGTGCTGTGGCACTTGACGAACGAGCTACAATATCCTTCATAATTGATCGTTGCCGCTGATGAAATAATGTGTTATAGCTGCTGTAAACGTTTGATTTTATTGAATAATGACGACAATTCATTGTGGTTGACAATGTCGATGCTCTCGTACATTTGGCTAACTGAACAAATGAACGCGTTATACTTCGAAAGGCCATCACTGTTTAAATAGCTTTTTTATCTGAAATCAAAAAACTTTCTTTAGTCAGACAGATATCTGTTTTTGCTAATAAACGCAATACGCTGTATAACAAAACAAATTTAACGGCAATCATTCTATTTAAAGTGCTTTCGTAACAAATAACAAAAAAATACAAAACATAAAAAAGTTTTATCAGGATACAAATACCGATTAGCTAGGGAGCAAAAAAAATTGTCACATTTTTGTTTGAAGTCGTTGCACTGTTCTATTCGTCACAAGAAGTGTACAATCAAGAAACCGTTCAACACAATTTTGTAAACAAGTTGTTTGTTTACTCGAAATATAATCAGATGGCCCATCCATACATTTGTCCCAGCAGACATTAGTCAAATGATGAACCTTAATAGAAGCAATTAAAAACAAATGCAGTTTAACGAAAAGGTATATCAGCTGACTAACTTGAGAAGCCAGTTGAATCTCAAGTTCTTTTGTCGCGACAAATTTTTGAAGATCATTATCACTTAATGCATTTCCATAATCATCACCCATAACTACGTACAAAAAGCTGAAAATGAGCCTTGAAGAAGGAAAAGTATACAGCAAACACAGAACACTTCATTGCATTCGCATTCATTCTCGCTATCGGAAAAAACAAAGTCAAAGCTTGTTTTCGATATAGCCCTTGCTATTTTGACGTACTTTTATGTTGAATTTAGCGATTGCCGAAAAGAGCTAGATGTAAAAAGTTAATAAACAGCAATGCAAAATACTTACTTTTCTATTAGCAAAGAGCAGATTGAAAAATGAGTGAAGATGCTACGCTATGCGTTGCATGAGAAGAAGACTGGTAAAACATAGACACGCCAATGAAAAGTTAAAACACTCTTTCAAAGAAACTAGAGATGTAGAGACATCGGTAAAAATTAAACAGAATACTTCGATTTTTAATTTTATAGAGAAATTTAACCTGCTCTTCGGAATTCCTTTTCAATACTTGAACATAACTGTTTAATGAGTATTGATTGTAGCACTCATTTTGTCACTGCAATGCAGTAATTTTCATTAGATTTCGGAAGGAGGGGGAAATCCCCCTAAATAAATTACTCGAGAAAAAAATTACTCAGTTCGTATTTGCTCACTCCGAAAAGTTTTTATTTTTCTGATTATCAACTAAACTTTTTTCAGTAAAAAGATACTCAGAAAATTTTCTGGAGTTGTGCCGTGTACTATTTGGGAAACTTAAATGAAGCCAATAGTCAAGGTTATTGATACATAACTTCTTACAAGGGAAAAGACCATAAAACCTATATTTTACTTTTCTAGAGTTCATTTCGAAAACTTGGGTCGGTTCTTTCACACACTTGTTAGTATTTCACTTTCAGCAGATAGTTTTGAGAAAAGTTGCGTAATAAGGACGATTTTTCCGACTCCGTGTCTCAGTCAATGGGCAGAATCTTGGCATTTTTAGAACACTGGGTTCGGAAGAAAAGGGAACAGAAGTGTCGCACAAGATCAGATTCACCATTTAATTTCCAGGAGATAGCCGCCACGAAAGCAAAACTGATTTTCTTTTTTTTTTTCTTCAGACCTCTCCAGGGCTGTCGCGACCAGTCAGACTTTATAGGAGTGCTTCATTGAGACAAGAATGTTTTTTCAGAGAACGCAGGAAAAAAGATTTTCTGCGGGGAAAAATCGAGGATGTTTAATTTTTTGGGCGTGTTAGCACTCTGGACCTCTCCACCAAAGAATCGCATTCATTAAAAACTTTTACCTAAAATAGGCAGGTAGTATTAACAGTAATTATTAAGAACCAGTCAAAATTTTTAAAAGAAAGAGAAATAAATCCACGTGAATTGAAGTATTCATCTCACGCAAGTGGTGTGCGTGTATTGACTGCATGTATGAATGTAAACCGAAATTGATCTTCGGCGATCAAAAATGAGCCTCTCAGTATTTTTGTGAATATCTCTCTCAGTTTTCGATGCTCTGACTTGATTTTTTCTTCTGAAGATAGCCCGTAGAATTCTCTACAAAATCCAATGGAAAGAGCTCTTCAAAAGGATAACTGGAAAACCATATCTGGTCAGCAGTGCTATATTCCAAAAAGGTCCACTTTCAAAAGCACTATTTTTACAAAACTAATTATTTCTCTTTTTCTGACTAAACAGATTTCAGACCATTCTAAAGCAAGTTTCCTATGTATTTAGGTGTACTCTTTTCTAACAGAGCTCAAAAAAGATCTTCAGATAAGTTTGTGAGGTTGCAATGGCCAATGTTCTTGAAAAAACGAGTTGGAACCACTGATCATTCTCCTTAGTCGCGCCAGTTATTACAGAAAACAGCCTTTGCAACAGTTCCCTCGAGTAGAAATGAAAGAAAATATACTTTCTTTCAATTTGGTAATAAATCTGAATACGTATTAAATGTATATTTGACTTAACTAAATCAAAATTTTGGTGAACCTCAATGGAATATCCTTAAAACGTGAATAAGGGAGCACAAATGAAATGTTTTGTCCGAATAGATTTACAGTATGCCAAAAAAGTATTCGGTCAGCTGATAGAGCTTTTCATGAACTACAAAGTGACGTATTCAGTTTTTTCCGTATGTAGTCAAAGAGCGACGCAAACTTACAAAAACCAGAAACAGTAGCTTGAAAGTGGACCTTTTTGGAATATAGCATTGCTGACGAGATATGGTTTTCCAGTCATCCTTTTGAAGAGCTCTTTCCATTGAATTTTGTAGACAATTGCACAGGCTATCTTTTGAAGAAAAAATCAAGTCAGAGCATCGAAAACTGAGAGAGATAGTCACAAAATTCATCAAGCTCGGTTTGAGCCAGAGCGGAATAGAGGTGTGATTTCATGTGAGTTATTATTTCAGGTCAGCTGTTTTCATCAGAGTACATTACGACCCCTCGAAAAAATGGTCTGATCGAGCTCGGATATCTCAAAATTTTACCACACATACTTCAGGTCCTATCTTAGATTCGCTTTTTTCTTTTCGAAAAATATTCTTTCTTTCTCGAGATATCCGAAAAATACTAAAAGTTCCATATAAAACCAGTTTTTCATTTTAAAAACCTTTCACGCCGAAAGTTGAAATCCAAAATGCTTTAAAAAAACGAATCTGGGATAGGATCTGAAGTATCTGCGATAAAATTTTGAGCTCAATTGGACTATTTTTTCGAGGAGTCGTAATGTGGTCCGATTGAAGGGAGTATCGACAAAACGCATAGTGAGAAAAACATATATTGTTCACAGGACTCGGTTTTTGAGGGCATTTGTGGTGACGGCTATATCTTCACAAAAACTTATTGGAAAATTCGGCGAGACTTCTTATTTTAAAGAGCACACTTTCTTCTATCATGCTATTTATAAGAAAAAAGTTTTAAATGTACAGACAAGGAGAGAAAAATTTACGAAACTGAAAAACTGAGATTTTCCAGGCTTTGAAGGAAAAACGTAAAAACTCCATAACTTTTCAAGGAAGGTCATGAAGAGCTGGGAGTGATCTCATTTTATAGCCAGACTTTTATCTACATTAGACTGTGTTCAGCTCAAAATGAAAAGTTTTCTGACGAAAAACATGGTAAAAAGAGTAGATGTTTCAAAGGTTTCAACCGGTGAAATACCGGTCTCTACTGATCCGGTTGACTTTTTCAACCAATCCAGTCCTCTCCAGTCCGGTACCGGGCCGGTTCCAGCTGTGATGGAAACACAGATGGTTTAATAATGAATGCGCTCTAGATATTCGTCAGATTTTGTCTAATAAACACCATCAAACGCGCTATCGAATAGTGTTTTTTTTTTATTTTAGCCGTCTTCATATACATACTATATATAACAGACACTCAAGAAGTGCATTAAACACTCCATTTTCTGGATCACATTTATTCAACACAGAGGCACAAGTCTATAATGGACGACAGAAATTTCCAGTATACTATAAAAAATGCTACATATCTTCTAACACGCACGCAATCTTTTATTTTCAAATAATATAAGACGCTGCACTTCTCTTAAATTTAAGACGCTCCGCGGCATAAAAATTGATATTTCGAACATATCTTGCACAGCCAAGGGAAGTAAAAGAAAGGGACGTAGTTAAGTTTCATTGACCGAAGCAAAACTAAGCGCGATAATCTAGCCGCAAAAATAGCTGCAGCTATTAGATTACAAGATATATTTATCTAGCTGCGAGCTGGTTGAAATTGACAGCAGCCAGCTGCATTCAATCCAATCTAGATGAAATCTATATTTATTTCAACTAAAAATTTACATTTATAACAGCTAGATTCAACGTTGACAAATACAGCTTAGATGCAAGCGCCTGCTTCACGATTACTTTTTCATGCATGAGGAGATGCTTGAGCCAGAAGTGTCTAATACGTGTAATGTACATATTTACACGTTCAGCTTATTTCTCTACTTAAAGTCAGACCAGTGCAGCTTTCAACTCGACTATGACTCTCACTTTTCGCGAAGAAACTAGTCTAAGTTGATTATATGTTCCCTAACGATGTGTGTTTATGGATACATCTTGTCTTGTCTTGTTATTGCTGAATGAAACAGCACTGTTCTTGTACTGTAAATAAAAGAAGAATTTGAACAAAAACTTTTTCGTGTTTCTCTACGTTGCTAATTATGCAGGAAAAGAAAAAGAAAAAAAAGTACGAAAACTAATATGAATACTAATGAATGACTTACGACTAAAGAAAATGTATCCTCTCTCTACACCTGTTTGATCGGGTCCATATTAACTATCTCTTTTCATTTACTGAACAACCTCGAAAGTCTTGGAATTATCTTACTTCCTCTTTCTCCTGCTAGGAATCAGACTCAACTTATTTTTCATATCAAAATTCACTCAGAAGTGAAGAAACAGATGTACTCACCGTCACTACTGATAATATCGAGTCGATTGCACAATTTCAATCGTTGTACAGAATATAGATACGGAACAGTAAATTTAGTATTACAGTTAGCTTCAAAACTAAGTTCACATGTTCGAATCTCTATTCGTATAAAATTTGATTTTGTGTTCTTCGATAGTTTTAGTTTAGAATACTATAATGGAATATCTTTCTGCTCGTATTCCAATAGAATAAAGCTTATACCAGATGTACTGCTGTTTGGAAATCTGGAATTTTGGATCAACAACCACTAGAATCTTCAAAAAGTGTATCTGTTTTTTAAGCTCTAGATGAATTTTGACTTGATAAATAGATTCAGCTTAATTTCCTCCACGTCTTATTAATCGTTCAGTATCTTCAGAAGCGAGTTGATTAACCAGTTTTTCGTAATACGCGTAGAGCGTTAAAATAAGACATCCCAAGCGTCTTTCGTTTTCCACTAGTGAGCGAAACGTCTTAGTAAGACGCTCGCGACGTCTTATTTTACTGCTCCCCGCGTCTTCATTTTTTACAGTGTTTCAGTCCTAGCATATCCTAACTGAAATTGAGCCAGCCCGAACTTTTCAATGCATTTTCAGTAGTAACGTACATTGTTTCTACTTAACTCCAATTGGTAATTCTCCTAATGAAAGCTAAAAGGAAACATTACTACGCAGGCAAGACGTAGGATTGAATGACAATTTCTTGTCGATCAATCATATCCTTCCAGTATTGCAGTTTCTCATAAAGGTAAAAGAAAACAAGAAGTAACGTAGTCAGGATATTGTTAGTAGCTAGGACTTACTGAAACCGCGTAAGGGGAGAAAAATATATAGAGAAATTTGTGCTCTTCATTCCGTTAAAAACACACTGCTTTTTCGTTTACAAGATTGAATATTACTTGATATTTGTTTTTACTAGTTATTTGTCTTATGTTTCTCGTTTAGATATTTTTATCATACCATTCATTATAATCATTAAATAAAAATGTATGTTGTTTTTTTGCAGTTTAGCATTATGTGGTGTGTCCAAGCTAATGTATACTTGATTTCATCCGTTTAGGACCAACCCACATGTGAAATGGGCTCAAAAGAAAGACATAGTACTTTTGACAATTGCTGTTCAAGATATCGAAAAACCAGAAATTCAAATTGAACCAACGAAACTTCATTTCAAGTACGTGTTCATAACATTACAGGCACTCAAGATGTGTTTGCCGTACAATTTTTTGATACTGTTTTTTTATTCGTCTGATTGTTTTTAAATTTATTTTTATATTTTAGAGGAAAACAGAAAGGAGGCTCCTCATATGACACTACACTCGAATTTTTTGAAGAAATCGATCCACAAGTAAGCAATCAATCTTTATTTCTAATGTGTAATTTTCTTACATTTATTATTTGTTTAGACATCAAAGTATAGAAATGTTGGACAAAGTCATTGGGAATTCATGCTGAAGGTTAGTTCAATCTAAACTCCCCTTCATTAGTAAGTTATTAATTGCTTCATATTTGCCTCTTTTATCTTAAGAAAAAAGATTCATCAAAACCATTTTGGAAACGTCTAGT